GAACGACCTGTTGGTGTGTATCGCGCGTGCCTTTGGTTGGGTGCCGCATTGTTGGTGACGGTGGCACGGTGGTTAGCCAGGCCTAGAGGTTTATCCGCAGCGCGTGTGTTCACCCCCTAGGCGAGGTGTAGGATCCAGCGAGCGACGGCGAGCGAAAGTCGAAGAGCGATGACCAAAAAAATTCATCAGAAGGTAGAAACGACCAGGCGACAGTGTTTCGATCGCGGCAGCCATGGTGTCAACACAGGGAAGTCGCAACACGAGCGTAGAAAGAAGTGCGAACACCCGACCAAATAATCAAACCTCACGGCGATTTCTTGGAGTGAGTCACTCACAGTAAGCTTCGCAGATGCACCAAAGACATGTCTGGCGCTCCACGCTCTGCCGGAAAAGACGTTGAAGTAAGAACGCTCGCAAGGGGAAAGCGCAACCACGGCACCAAACGAAAGAACCCCGCATGACAACGAGAGAGAAGGGAAGAGCAAGTATCGAGTAACTTGATGAGCGTGAGCATCTGCAGAGCCCTAGAGCAGGTTCCTTCTCTGCGCGACACCCAGACTATTAGTAAGGAAGGAGCAACAAAGACACGATGCACGTTAGCAAAAAGAAAACATGGAAGGGAAACCCCTCACTCAAGTACACGAAACGATACGAGAACATGGCCTCTGACACTATCGAATGTTCAACATTCCTCTAGAACCTCGGTTTCGTTGGTACACCAGCTCACCGGACCTATGTCCTGGCAGGCTAAGCTGGGTAAAGCGGCACATGCAATACGAGAGCCACGAGGAGAGGGCCTTCCAGATGCGCCTGTCAAACAGAAAGACACGGGCTAGATTTTGGGTCGCAGTTTGTAGTATACATATGATTAGATCTTGATGAGTAGAGATGTTCTAGGGTGGTGTATGCTCCTACCCTCTGTATCATCATCTGGCCACCCCTAGGGACGAGGATGAGGCTACAAAAGAACTCTTCCAAACGCGCCACAAAGACCGCTTTCGCAGGAATCACGAAAAAAAAGAGAATAGACATCATCGTCACTGGTACACTGGCTACTCTCTTTTAGCGGCGCGCGCTCGACTGACGGCGGTTAAGCACGTTCCGGTCATTGGCCTGGTAGTTGCATGGTTTGCAGTACAGTTCACACCCATCCTCAACCACAGACTTGTGACGATCTCTGCCGAAGTGTCTGCTGAAAAAGGCCTTGGTTCCAAAGGTCTTGTCGCAAGGAACGCAAGGGAAGCGGATGAGCATGACATCCCGCTGACGCTTAGCAAGGCTGTCTGAGACAGGATCTGCTTCCCTGAGTTGGCATGGATGCGAGCTGTGTATTACCTCAATAACCAACCTAGGAGGCTACATCGTCTTGGGATATATTCACTCATCAACATTCAGCAGCACGTATGCAGCAACGTGCGACACGAATTCAAACACCAGGTATCATTGGAAGAATCAAGTGATCTCATAAGTATTTCATTCCATGTAAATACTCCCATGACTGCGCATATATCTGAGTGCGTCTAAGCAAGTCATATCTCCAACGCGAAAAGTGCTTTTCTACTCATACACGGGGTGCCAATGGAACCAAAATACGACAGGAAGGATGCAACATGTGGTGACTCTACAGTCAACCATCTACAACTCGTCGTGGTCATCAGGCATCTCATCGTCACCACCGGGGCCGCCAGCGCCGTAGAGCTTGGAGGTGATGGGGTAGGCGACGTCGGACAGCTTCTGGAACTGCTCGTCAAAGTCCTCAGCGGCAGCCTCGGCGGCGTTGCTCTCGAGCCAGTCCTGGGTCTCCTTGACGGCCTCGAGGAGAGACTCCTTGTCCTCCTCCTCGATCTTGCCACCAAGACCCTCGTCGTCGTTGACCTGGTTCTTGAGGCTGTAGGCGTAGTTCTCGAGCTTGTTGCGGGACTCAATGCGCTCGCGGTTGGCCTTGTCTTCCTCGGCGTACTTCTCAGCCTCCTCAACCATGCGCTCAATGTCTTCCTTGCTGAGACGGCCCTTGTCGTTGGTGATGGTGATGGATTCACCCTTACCAGTGCCCTTGTCGATAGCGCCAACCTTGAGGATACCGTTGGCATCAAGCTCGAAAGTGACCTCAATCTGGGGAACACCACGGGGCGCGGGAGGGATGTTGGTAAGCTCGAACTTTCCGAGTTGGTTGCTGCAGATATAGGTTAGCAAATCGATCTTTGTGGCGGACACGCGATAACGCGGTGGATACTTACTTGTCCTTTGTCATGGCTCGCTCTCCTTCGAAGACCTGGATCAAGACTACGGGCTGGTTGTCGGCGGCGGTGGAGAAGATCTGGCTCTTCTTGGTGGGGATGATAGTACCACGCTTGATAAGGGTGGTCATGACACCACCAGTGGTCTCAATACCGAGGGTAAGAGGGTTGACATCCATGAGAACGACGTCTCCGGTAGCGGCGTCACCAGTGAGAATACCACCCTGAACAGCAGCGCCGTAAGCGACAGCCTCATCGGGGTTGACATCCTTGCGGGCCTTCTTTCCGAAGTACTCCTCGAGCATGGCCTGGACCTTGGGAATACGAGTGGAACCTCCAACGAGAACAATGTCGTCGATTTCGCTCTTCTTCATCTTGGCGTCCTTGAGAACCTGTTCAACGGGCTTGAGGGTCTTCTTGAAGAGGTCGTTGTTGAGCTCCTCGAACTTGGCGCGGGTGAGGGTCTCGGAGAAGTCCTTGCCCTTGAAGAAAGACTCAATCTCGATCTTGGTGGTCTTCTGGGAAGAGAGAGTGCGCTTGGCCTTCTCAACCTCACGCTTCAACTTGGACATGGTCTTGGAGTCCTTGGTGATATCGACGTCGTTCTCCTTGTTGTACTTCTTGGTGAAGTAGTTGATGACACGGTTGTCAAAGTCTTCACCACCGAGATGAGTGTCACCAGCGGTAGACAGAACCTCGAAAACGCCGGATTCGATAGTGAGGATGGAAACATCGAAAGTACCACCACCGAGATCGTAGACGAGAACCTGACGTTCCTTCTGGTCGGTCTGTGGTGCGTTAGCTGAGTTGCTTCAACGGAGGATGCTGATGTCTTACCTTGTCGAGGCCGTAAGCCAGAGCGGCAGCGGTGGGCTCGTTCACAACACGGAGAACATTGAGACCAGCGATAGTTCCGGCGTCCTTGGTGGCGGCACGCTGAGCGTCGTTGAAGTAGGCGGGAACGGTAACGACAGCGTTCTTGACAGGCTCGCCAAGGTAGCTCTCGGCCACCTCCTTCATCTTGCCCAGAACCATGGCGGAGACCTCCTCGGGGGTGAAGGTCTTCTCCTCGCCGTGAACCGCAACGGAAACCTTGGGTTGGTTGTTCTTGTTGACGACCTTGAAGGGGAAGTGCTTGATGTCATTCTGAACAGACTTCTCCTTGTACTTGAGACCGATGAGACGTTTCTGCTCCACAGTCAGTATGCCAGCCTTGCAACAAGGGTATACGGGAGTGTACGTACGATATCGAAGATGGTGCGTTCGGGGTTGGAGGCGAACTGGTTCTTGGCGGCGTCTCCGACAAGACGCTCGTCATCGGTGAAGGCTACCCAAGAAGGTGTGATACGGTTACCTGGAGAGGACACATGTCAGTTTGGGTGTGTGAGATGGTCGAGCACGCAGACTTACCCTGGTCGTTGGTGATGATCTCAACCTTTCCGTTCTTCATGATACCGACACAAGAGTAGGTGGTTCCCAGATCGATACCGATGACGGGGCCGGAGACACCATTGGCGTCGTCCTTGATGGGCTCCTGGTCTTGGGCATGTGCTGTCTTAGCCAGCATCAGACCGCCGACAAGGACGAGGAGGAGGTAGAAGGCAATGGACCATGTTGAGCGCTGGTTGGCGCCCCGCGAGCTTCGAGCCATTGTGATGTGTGTGTAGTCCTCAAGACTGGGGGTATGGCCTAGATGCCAGGTGCAAGTGCGGGCGTAACTCTCTGGGAGCTCGCAATGTGTGGAGTAGACGGGGCTCTCCAGGTATCGCTGAGAAAGAAACTAAAGGCGAGTTGCGGTGGTTGCAGTTGCAAGGTGAGTGGAGGAAGAAGGGCAAGTAGCGGTGGGCGGCTACTGTTATATGGACACGTCGTGGAAGTATTTCGAAAGAACACCTTGCGATCTCGAGGATCTTGCTCCGCAAACGGTCTAGCGCGCAGCTCGCCCATGGCCCGTTCACTTTGCCCCAACCGCCCGCATCAGCCTCAATTTCACCTGCGTTTGACGCAGCTGGCTACAGGACACGTGTAATTCGCTAGCACTGGGCTTTCACGGCTCCTGTGTAGCATGTGTGACTCCGCGCTATGCAGACCTATAGGCCACAGTAGCTTCTTGTGCAGACGGTGATGAGCTCCGTCGTTATCGCTATCGTGCCTCTAGTCCAATTTACCCCTCCATCTAAGCGAACGCGAACACCTGCAAACCTCGGTGCTCTACCATCTCAACGTCCAAGTCGCGAATGAACTCATCTGGGTTGAAAATCGCCGTTTCCACAATGCGCAAAACCCCAGCCAGTCTGAGTCGTTGCGTCGATAATCTCGGACACGGCCCTCAATGTCTGTCCCAAGTTCCAGGTGTCCTTTCGGTAGTCTTCCAGTCGCTAGGCAGACAGATCTACACGAGACACCGGCTCCACCGCACCGCCAACACCATTCACCTCGATGACTCCTTTGTCTATATGCAACGTTTCCTCAATGTTGTTGCCACAGGGTGAGAACACAATGCGCCAGGTCTTCTGACAGTTGCCTGGATCGAAGCATTCTGCCCGCCATTCACGACACGTCAGTCATGCTTGCAAATGCGAAAAGATTCACCCCGTAGAGACAACTGGCTTCTTTGACTGGAGAGGAGCGAAGAACATCGTACGTGCGGTGCATGATGCTTCATTGCGGATATCTTGAGGTCTGCCAAAGGGAATCTTCGCGATCATTCCGCTGTCCCACTCTGCCGATCAGCCGCATCGCCGCCACGACCAGCGAAACCCATCACCATGCCTCTTTCAACGTCTTCTTGAGGGCGCTCAACATCGCGTCCCATCGCGCACCAGACCTGCTTCTCAATATAACCAAGCCTAGGATGCCAACACCCAGCGCGCAAGGTATCGCTTTCTTGGCAAAATTCTTTGCAAAGTGTTTGAAAAACATGTCCTGCCTTTGTCTCACCCTCTTCACATGCTCCTCTCTTTTGTTCTTCACAGGAAATGGCTCGTCTGGCATATCTTTCTCCAGAAACTCACACAGCGGCTTCCAGCCATCCTCCAAGCGAAATTCGAGCAAGCGTTCGGTAGGGACCGCAGCCCGAACTTCTGCATAGTGCAGCCTATACCGATCCTTGGCAACTCGTCGCATCTCTTGCACATTGCGCACGCCATAGAAGCCCAACATGATCTTGCGAATCGTGCTGCCGCCCTTGAGTCCATAGAGCGGACCCAGTACGTTGATCACGAGATCAGCGCGAAGGCCCCATGTCGTGCTGAAGATGGCTGCTTCCATACTGTCGTACCACTCGTCGATATCGCGCTCTACCAGGATGATCTTCGCCTCGGGATAAGCCTCGATGAGCTGCGTGGCGAAGAAAGAGCTCATATCGGTAACGGCCTCATAAGGTCCAAAGACCACATCCCAGTCGGCGCGTGTGAAGGGCGCGCCCGTGTAGGTCGGGAGCGAAGGGTAAAAGGAATCGCATGCTTTGCTAAAGAGTTCCCATTCAATTGGAGAACTGATGGCCTTAATGCCGTGGTGCACGCCTTGATATCCGAGAATCTCGAGAGCTTGAGTGATCGAGGCCGACCCTACCGTCGCTTCAGCCAGCTTCTCCCGACGGCCGTAACAATAGCAAAAGCAAACGTTAGAGGAACTCACCAGTACGCGTCATTCCCAATGAAAGCACCTTCAGCTCTCGCTTTGGCCGGTCGGCAATGGAGTTTGGTATCGCCATGGCTCACACCAAAGCTGGTCTCAGTCACGCAGAATGGCTGACGAGTGAAGATGGTCGGGAGTGGGACAGAAGGTAATATTCCTCGACCATTGTAAGCTCGGCAGAGAGGTGATTATCCCATCTTGCTGCTCACCGTGGACCGTGGTAAACATTCCATACTCATTTACTGGACCGCCTACCACGTGGTCAAAGGAGTGGCCATTCTACTTGCCGCTGCCTAACTCAAATGTGAGCGCCGAAGAGCGCCCACTGCTATCAATACGATCTACCGGTAGACCCCTTCCTAGTTTCAACACGCTCGGGCCGAAGTGTAACGGGCCGAGTAAAGTGCCACTGCAAACGCATCGCGCATAATTGGTCTACACTCCAAGAGTACAACGGAACACGCGCAACCAACATCCTGGCTTGGTAAAAATGTTCTCGGAAAGACAGGCTTTCTGCTGTCGAATCACATGAGGTAAATCAACGATGTCCGGGTCTGATACACGCACACACATCATCGCCCGTATTCACCGTATCCCCCGTATAGGGCGTACTTGGCCGTCATGAGGCCTACGCAAGCGTTCTGTACACCGTTTTGACGCTGCCGGTATGCATAGCCTTGTAAATGTACGTGCTGATATAACAGATGCTCAATCAAGTTCTGACTACTGCCTCGGCCTGATGGAGACCATGAGCGGCTTCTTCTCCCAGACCAAATACGACTTTTGTGTGATCCACCACTTCTCACTGTTTGGGCTGAGCGAGATGTCAAAGTTCCAGAAGAGCTTAGCCAAAGCCAGTCTCATCTCATTCATAGCCATACTGGAAAAGCATGAAGTCAGCGATCGTTCCAGTGATACCGGGAAGGAAAAGAGAGATCTTACGTTTGTCCAATGCAATCATGTCTACCATAGGAAAAAGGGCGAGACGCGCCTCGGTCATCACTAGCAAACTCTCCATCTTTCGTCTGCAGCCACCTCTCCGGGATAAAGTCAAGAGGTCGGTGCCAGTTCCATGGAGCATGGCAGGCTGCCAGATTGTGCACGCCCACAGCTGTCTGTTGGCCGACTAGTCAGTACAAACTCGCCATGATCGAGATACAGATGAATAGTTACCCCTCCCGGTACCCATCTCCCATCTATCTCCTCTCCACCCTCTGGAACCCAGCGCGGCAAAGCCGATGGCGTGGGCGGCGAAATACGCATTGACTCCTCGATGCAAGCCTTCAAGTAAACCAGCTCACCAGCAGCAACCATGGTAATCTCCTCTTCGCTCGCAAACCTACCCCGCACCTCGGCAATGACCTTCGCATACGCGTCCGGATGCCCGCAAACGAAGAAGACAAATGCGCTCATCGTATACGTAGTCGTGTTACTACCTGCCACAATCAACGCACTCGCCATACCAAAAAGATCCATGTTACTCAAATTCTCGCTCTCATTACCAAGGATGTAACTCATGAAATCCCTCCTCTTCCCTTTCCGGGTGCCGGCGCGCTCTTCGTCAATCCGTCGCTGCACCTTTTGCAGTGTCAACGTTTGATGCCGCTTCCGCGCCTCCATAGCCGCCTTGGGTGCTGTCCATTTAAGTATCCACTCGATATGGTAGTACGTAGCGAGTTGATACCAAACAATGCTCTTGACACGCGATCCGATAACGTCAAGCCAGGGCTCATCGGCGCGGTCGAGACAGCCCGCTGGTTGTCCAAAGGCCAGGTCGCTCATGACATCGAAACTCAATAGGCTGAACCAACGGAGGATGTTCTGCTCTACAGCATGGTACTGCGGTTTTCGTAAATGAGCAACAAGTCGATCAGTGTGATCTCGGAAGAAATCTTCCTGGTCCCGCAACGCGCGCTCACTAAACGCTGGCTGCAACGCACGCCGTATCACTGCATGGCGCTCAGGCGTCTCAGTGACGATACTACGACGTCCATTGACGACCGCAGGAGCGATACCACGACCATCCAGACACTTGAGAAACTCGCGAGGTGGAGGTGAGCCATCGATCTTCTTCAAGGCTGTGCTGCTGGTGTAGGACAGCTCGTCGGGTGCGATGCGTATTACGGGGCTGTTGTAGTAGATGTGCATGTCGCGGATGCGCCATGCGAGGTCGCCGCGGAGGTTGACATAGTGCCAGGGCAGGCGGGAGATGGCCCAGAGTTTGGGGCCTGGGAAGGAAGAGAGGGGGTGGATGGTGAGGTAGTAGAGGGAGCGGAGGAGGAAGTAGAGTATTGGCTATGCGCGGTTAGGATGTTGGAGGCTCCTGATGGTGTAGGAGGTGTTGACGTACACTGGTGAAGATGAAGAGAACTATCATGGACAACATCTCGGCGTACAGCTTGGTGTTCGCTCGTTCTGGTTCTTCTGCCCAGGACTCAAGAGATGAGCTTCATGGCCACAGGTTCGTGGTAGTGGCATAGACAGATATCTTCCTTCTCGTAAGTAAAGCGAACCAATCACTTCCATTTCGATTGCTGATTCTCCTTCATTCGTAGGATAGTTCTGGTGTCGTTGCCATCGTCGTAGATGCAGCAGTCGACGAGCCAATGGGAGAAAATGCATACCCACGTGGCTGATCGACTTACCGTGAGCGTCTGATCTCGAATGTGACTCCGCTGGTAGTCCTCGATATTGTAACCCCACGCGGCACCTGCTCTCGGCGATACTAATACTTCGATCCCGCATTCGGTCCGGCCATGCTAGTGAGGCCTAGTCGCCGGTGGTCGCTGTACTGACTCGGGAGCTGCATGGCATCGTTACGAGGGCGGTGTTGATGGAAAAGGAAAGAGCGAGGGTTCAGCGGACATTCTGTCATAGCGTTGGGGTTCAAAGTTGAGAGAGGTCGGCACGTGACTATACCCATGCTTCCACCACCATCTCAGAACTGAGCCACATCTGAGTCAACCAACTAGAACGCCACACCACTAACAACATGTCTAGAACCACCAAGATCTACTCAATAGCAACCCTCAACTTACACAAAACCGCCTCTTCCCTCTTCATTGGGCTCCCGGGACTGCACACTACCGTAAAATTATGCCAATCCCTCTCTAAATCCACATCCAGTCCTTCGACAACATCATACCTCTGCAACATCCTCACAATCACATACCCCGCCTCGGTAAGCGCAAACTGCTGCCCAATACAAATACGCGGCCCGCCGTTAAACGGGACATACTGCCAAGTTGACCCCGGCCTCCTCTTCTCCCAGCGTTCAGGTACGAATTCATCGGCGTCTACGCCCCAGAGATCTTTCCGGCGGTGCAGGACGTGCGTGCTGAAGTTTACTTCTGTGCCTGCGGGGACGAAGATGGGGAGGGTGCCGCAGGGGCCGCCGCCGGTGGGGAGGGTGGTGTCGCGGATGGCGCAGCGGGAATTGAAGGGGACGACGGAGTGAAGGCGGAGGGTTTCGTTTAGAATGTGTTGTAGATAAGAGCAGCTCTTGAGTTTCTCGAACGTTATACTCTGGCCAACGATAGTACTCGAGTAAGATCCGAATTCCGCGATAATGACTTCACGTAGCTTTTTGTATACCGATGGGTTCTGCACTAAGCAATAGAAAACCCATGAGGTGAGTGATGCTGTCGTGTCTCGACCTGCGGCTAGCAGACCAAGAACTTGCTCGCGGACTTCGGCGCGGTCGGCACAGCGCGATCGCAGTGTTTCGAGGAAGTCGTAGCGGAGAGACGAAGAACCTTGTTTTCTCGCTTGGTCTGCGGCGTCGATGGCGCGGTCGACGAAGGCGTGGAGATTGTTTATGCATTTGTTTAGTTCGGCGTTGCCGTAGAGCCAGTAGAAGCTTCGGAGGCGCATTCTGGTTCCGAGGATGGATAGCATACGCTCGAATGCGTGGTCGAAGCTATCTTCTTCAAAATTCTCGTCGCCTTCCTTCTCCTGTCGCTGCTCCTCAAGCAACTTATTGAGGGACCCCGTACTCATCCCCAAAAAGAACTCCGTCGCCGAATCCATCGTCAACTTCGGTAACAACGCCGCTAAACTGACAGGCGCAGACCACGCCCTCCCTTCCTCATCAACCCTCAATCCCCCCTCTTTCCCCTCGATAACTCGTAACAAACTACCCACATGCCCCTCCAACACCTCCAGTCTACTAACATTCTCCCTACTAAACAGCGGCCGCATAGTCTCCCTCGCCCGATGCCAAGCCACCCCATCAACAGCAAAAATACTGCGCCCCAGCGCCCGTTTCAAATTCGTGCGTCGTGCTGTGCCCATGATGAAGTCATCGAATTGCGTGGCGAGTAGGGCTTGGATGTTGCGTGGCTCGGCCGTGATCAGATTGGTTGTGCCGAGCAGGGATATGGCCCAGGTGTACCGGTTCATGGCCTTGAAGCGCGAGAAGACGAAGTCGGGGGTGCGTTGCTCGCTGTCAGCGAGGAGGCTGCGGCGGATGGTGTCGATGCCGAAGGGTAAGTGGTAAGGCTCCACGGGGACGGGACCGCATCCTAGATTGCGGCTCTTGAGGTAGTTGCGGAGGGGCTTTAAAATGAGAGCATTGCCTAGGTGAACTAAAAGGAGGAGGCCTGCGCCTAGGAGAAGAAGATGTGTTTGCATCTTTGGTGTAGGAGTTTCTGGTCTTGAAGCTGCATGGATTTAGAAGTGCGCCACTCTAAGTTTAAGTATGCCACTGAGCTATTCATTCCGACGCATCATTTCTGACCCACGTGCATAGCACTAAGCAGGGGATGGGTATTCAGTCGATTTTCTGAATTCTGAGCTGGAGAATGCCCGGTTAGCGTTGCTTGTGGGAATGGCCGCGAGCGAGTCATTGCGTTTTGCGGCGCATTCCCAATTTTAACCACATCACAGTCATATTTTCGACACCTCGCTATCTACATCACTACACGCAAGGCAGATACATCAGAAACACCTCCATGTCTTCATCTTCGGCTGCCGTTATCCATCCAGATCAGACACGGGCGTCAACTGAACCATCAAAGGGAGCTTCTCCCACACCAAGTAAGTGCCCTGCTTGTTCCACCAGTCGTTACCAGGATC